TTGAATTTGATGGTATCAGGCTCGTACTTTGGTTCCGGAGCCTGGTACAGGTCTTATATGTGATTTAAGTCGAGCTTGTAAAATTTGGTAAGAAACGGAGGTCATATGACGTGATTTGGAACCTTAGTTGTAAATTTTGAAACTTTGAAAGTCCTTGAGGTTTTCTTTGATTTTGATGCTAAATTCATAGTTATTGATGTTATTTTGATGATTTGATTGCACGAGCAAGTCTGTATGATGTGATTTGATTGCACGAGCAAGTATGTACGATGTTTTTAGGTTAGTGTGCATGTTTGGTTTGGAGCCCCGAGGGCTCGGGCGAGTTTTGGATAGGCCATGTAGTGGAATTGAACTTAGGAAGTTGCAGGTTTTCAGCTGGTATGTTGCAGGTCTGCAGGCTTCGCAAATGCAAAGCCTGGCTCGCAAATGCGACCCCGCAAACGCGAACATCTATCGCAAATGCGAAGAAGACCTGGGCTGCCTTGGTCGCAAATGCGACCTGTTCATCACAAATGTGATATCGCAAATGCAAAAGGTCCATCGCAAATGCGAAGTGGACCGGATTTCCTTCAGTGTCGCAAATGCGACAAAATCTTCGCAGTTGCGAAGTTAACAGGTTCTGAAGGGTTCGCAATTGCAAACCCTGGTTGCAATTGCGACATCTCCGACCTGCAAATTCATGACTTAGCCGAAAATCTTTCATTTTTCAAACTCTTTCAAAACATAAACTCTCTTGGGCGATTTTCCGAAGAAAAGTTCTTCTCCAAATCGATTATACAAGCGAATTGGTGGTGGAAACAAGAGGTAAAGCGGTAGTTGAGGCTTGAATTTCGTTCGTAGCATCGAGATAAGTGTTTGGTCTAACCTTAGCTTGAGGGATTATGATTCGTGTCTTATTTTCTATGTGTTAATTGTTGAGTACGACGTATGGGCATGGTGACGAGTATCTATACATCGGTGTCAAGCATGCCCCTAAGTCTTATATTATGATTAATGTGACTCCGTTTCGTATTGTTCATGCCTTCTGTGATGATTTCTATTGTTGAACAAGGCTTGAGAAAGTAATATTGGTAATTGATCATTGAAGAGCGTTGGCTCACGTTGTAAGATGATTTGTGGAAGTATTATTGGCAATTGAACATTTTAGAGCATTGGCTCAAGTTGTGAAGTAAATGTGAAAAGAGAAGAGGATTATGATATTGTCTCCCTTGCCGGGATGTTATTGTTTTTAATATTATCTCCCTTGCCTGGATGTTATTGCTTTTGATATTGTTTCCCTTGCCGGGATAGTATTGTTGTACTACTGTTCCCTTGCCGGGATTTTATTGTGATTTATTGATCCCCTTTCCCTAATTGCTTTGTGATTGTTGCTTGGGTAAGGAAGAGTGTAAAGCATGAAGGGTGATGCCGTGCACGATATTTGTGAGAGAGTGTTAACGCACGAAGGGTGATGCGGTGCCGCACGATATACAATTCCATGCTTTTATGAGTGATAATGCACGAAGGATCATTCTGTGCCATGATTATGTGAGGTAAAAGCAAGAAGGGTGATGCTGTGCCGATTATATTGATTCTTATGGTGAGGACGAGAGTAAAAGCATGAAGGGTGATGCCGTGCACTTGTCTTTGATTTTCCTGATTCTTGCTGATAATTGAGTTATGGTGTTCTTTACGTTTATTTACTGATTTTCTGTCGTTACTTGATTTTATTGTGATGTTATTGATTCTCTTGCCCCAAATTGCTTTGTGATTGTTGCTTGGGTGAGGAAGAGTGTAAAGCACGAAGGGTGATCCCGTGCACAATATTTGTGAGAGAGCGTTAAAGCACGAAGGGTGATGCCATGCATGTTATTTGTGAGATATAGTGTTAAAGTACGAAGGGTGATGTCGTGCACTTGTCTTTGATTTCCTGATTTTTATTGATAACTGAGTTATGGTTTCTCTACCTTTAACTGTGGGTTTTCTGTTGATACTTGTTGTACCCCGCACCATGATTCCCCCTCCCTATCTTTAATTGTGAAGTTCTGCCTTTATTTTTCCGTTGTATATGATTTAACTGCACAGGTTTATTTGTTAGTCTGGTCCTAGCCTCGTCACTACTTCGTCGAGATTAGGCTAGGAACTTACTAGCACATGGGGTTGGTTGTGCTGATTTTACACTCTGCACTGTGTCTAGATCCCAGTGATGCAGCTTTTGGACCACTGTGAGGTTGCTGCCTTCAGTCCAACAGGCGACCCGAGGGAGTCCTGCTGGTGTCCGCAGGCCCTAGCGTCTCCTTCTATCTTTTTATTCTGTTTCTTTCATGTAAACCAGAGACAGCGTTGTATTAATCTTTCAGACCTATATTTGTAGTATTCCTAGACAGTCTGTGAAATAGTGACACCAGTTCTGGGTAGTCTATGTTTATTGAATTGTATTGGTAATATTTAAATGGTTATATTTTGTTCTTCCGCTTATTAAATTCCGTTGTTTATAAAATGTTGGTTCTTAATTGCTAAAGGATTAAAATGGGAAAAAGGTAAATAATTCAAATGGTTGGCTTGCCTAGCTTTCACTAGTAGGCGCCATCATGACTCCCGAGGGTGGAAAATCCGGATCGTGACAGATGCCCTCAGAGGCTTGATGATGTTATGTAAGTACAGACCTATGCATTACATGATATTTATAAGCATATACATGACATTATAAATATTTCATGATTTACAGAGCTATCCAGACATACAAGTTAAGTCCTTTACTCCATGTTTCTTCCATGTCCTTTATATATACTTATTTACATGCCTTACATACTCAGTACATTATTCGTACTGACGTCCTTTTGTTGGGGATGTTGCATTCATGCCTGCAGGTATAGATAATCAGTTTGACGAGCCCTCATAGTAGACGAGATTGGAATTCAGTGAAGGATCGGTAAGAATCCATCTCATTCGGAGTGCAGCCGACTCTATGTGTCATCGTGTCAGAATTTTGCTACAGACTTACAGGTAGGCCGGTACCCTATCCCATTTGATGTCAATTAATCTTAGAGGCTTTGTAGACAGAGGTTCAGTTTGTACAGTATGTTAGAGGCCTTGACAGCCTATATGTAATGTTTTAAGAAAGATAGTTTATTGATATAGTTTTGCCCACTTACAGTTGTACATTCGGAGTGCAGCCGACTCTATGTGTCATCGTGTCAGAATTTTGCTACAGACTTACAGGTAGGCCGGTACCCTATCCCATTTGATGTCAATTAATCTTAGAGGCTTTGCAGACAGAGGTTCAGTTTGTACAGTATGTTAGAGGCCTTGACAGCCTATATGTAATGTTTTAAGAAAGATAGTTTATTGATATAGTTTTGCCCACTTACAGTTGTACATTATAAGTTGTGGCCATGTAGGCCCATGATAGTTACAAAAGGAATGGGTTCGGCTAACTCGACCTATGTAGGTTCTAGTTTTGGTCGAACGATCTTGAGTTACAGAGTGGTTCGCTCGGGCCAGCACGACACCGTGTGCCACCCACGCCTCCCCAGGTTTGGGGCGTGACAAAGTGGTATCAGAGCGGGTCGTGTCCTAGGAAGTCGACAAAGCCGTGCCTAGTAGAGTCGCACTTATGGGTGTGTTGCGCGCCACATTTATAATTGAGAGGCTATAGGGTATTTAGGAAATGTTACCCTTCTTTTGTTTCCAGATTGTGCCATAGAGCTGAGTCGTAAGAAGTCAGTATGAAGCTTTTCGCCAGATTTTGTATGCACCAGGTACCGGTATTACATTAAAGCTCTAGGGCATAATGTGGAAAGGAAGTTATAAAAGAAACATAAGATACGATGCGAGATTGAAAGGTAAGTAAGGTAAAGGTGAAGAAGATACAAGTTACTCAAGCACAAAAGGTTGTGAATTGTCACGACTTCAGATATGGTTTTAGTTTAATTACAGAAGAGACCCTGGTGATTAACATCCGAGGGCGAATGTTCTAAAGGGGGGAAGGATGTACCACCCATAAGTTTAACAACTTTGATACCGTTATATATATATATATATATATATATATATATATATATATATATATATATATATATAATATATATATATTATTATATATATATATATATATATATATATATATATTATATTATTTTGAATGGAACATTTTTGTAAAGAAAAAAACGATTTGAAAAAAATAATTTTATATAGTTATTAATATTACTACTTTCGAATATGTTTTAAATTATACACATAATATGAGAAATTTTTGTGAGATTTTCTTTATTGTAAAGATATGAATAATTTTTTTTACAAGAAAAGAAGGTTATCCCTTTTTTTTAATCATTTTAAGGATTAAACATACGAAAATTTGCACTCTTTATATGAGATTAGGAAAATTAGAAGTTGAGAATATATATGTATTTATACATGGATGTTTTAATAAAATAATAGTATATGTATTAAGTTTATATGGTACCACATGACCATGATAGTAAAATATATAAAGTGTGTTAAAAGTGAGTAGTATATTAAGTAATTTAAGATAATTAGTTAATTATTGGTTAGTGTGAAATTAACAAGTTAATTAAGGAAATTGTGGATAAGCTTAATAGCCAAAAAAACGTGGCAGCCACTTAATAATACTTGGTGACTCTTAAGCTTTCATACAAGTTGTCAAAATTGCAAAACATATAGTAGAATTTTACATTTCCTAGGTGTAAAGACTCCAATAAAGCTCACTTGCTTTGTTTTGCTGAGATAAGTACATAATTTGAAAATCAAGGCATTTAAAAGGAGAGTGGCGTGTATTGTCTTGAAGTTGATCTTCTAATCAATCTTGTGGTATGTTTCAAATAAACATAGGAGGGAGGCTATGCGTCTGGTGTTGACCATTTCTCTTTTTAGCACCTAATTATTGCCTGAATATTATGATTTTGAAGGATACATCTTTTCAATTCTGTCCCCCAAAAAAAATCAAACTTTTTTTTTATTCTTCGAAAAATCCATCTCCTTGACAATTTAGTGGACACCCACCAAGCATAATCCTCAATTTTGTCGTAAAAATCCAATCTTTTTCACATCTCTGAAGTATTTTGCAAATGAATGTTACTCTAATTCAATTTCAAAAACTACAAGACTGGACCTTTTCTCGGTTTCTTGCTTGATTATGGGAGAAGAACTATTTGAGAGGTTAAGTGTGTGCTGACAAGGTTTGGAATATTGGCTATGGAGTTTTGGTAACCAATTAATAGAATACAAGACACTACAACCAGATGTGAAGTTTTACACATTAGCGACGTGATTGCTTCGAGCTTTTCATACGACTTATCCCGTATTTCGTCGCAATTAACGTGTGTTAGAGGGATTGTCAAGAGAATCGGCTCAGGTAAGGCTATCCCTTCTCTTTTTTTGGCATGATCTATACGTCACAAACAAAACGAGCAAATGCACAATTTCCATAAATGACTCTATTCATAGAAATACTAGGGGTGTCTATATTCTTGATTCCCTATGTGAATTATTATATCTTCTGTTCATGGGTCTAAAAAAATACGTATTTGATAAAGTTTATGTGAAAGGCATATTGATTCTTTATGGCATTCCGAGAAAATCTTATTAACATATTTATTATGCATTTCATGCATTTATATATGTACATTGATCCATGACCAGATGGCATTATATACGCGTATATATGTAGTTAAATGGGATATGGAAAAAGGTTACGGCATTATATACGCACCACCACCTGATCAGCTGGTATACGTTGATGATTTTGCCCACAGTGGCTAAGATGATATGATGGGATGCCCTCATAGGCTTGACGATGTTATGTAAGTACAGACCTATGCATTACATGACATTTATACGCATATGCATGACATTATAAATATTTCATGATTTACAGAGCTATCCAGACATACAAGTTGAGTCCTTTACTCCATGTTTCTTCCATGTCCTTTATATATACTTATTTACATGTCTTACATACTCAGTACATTATTCGTACTGACGCCCTTTTGTTGGGTACGCTGCCTTCATGCCTGCAGGTATAGATAATCAGTTTGACCAGCCTTCATAGTAGACGAGATTAGAATTCAGCGAAGGATGGGTAAGACTCCATCTCACTCGGAGTGCAGCCGACTCTATGTGTCATCGTGCCAGAATTTTGCTACAGACCTACAGGTAGGCCGGTACCCTATCCCATTTGATGTCAATTATTCTTATAGGCTTTGTAGACAAAGGTTCAGTTTGTACAGTATGTCAGAGGCCTTGACGGCTCATATGTATTGATGTTTTAAGAAAGATAGTTTATTGATACAGTGTTTCCCACTTACAGTTGTACATTATAAGTTGTGGCCATGTGGGCCCATGATAGTTACAAAAGGAATGAGTTCAGCTAACTCAACCTATGTAGGTTCTAGTTTTGGTCGAACGATCATGAGTTACAGAGTGGTTCTCCTGGGCCAGCACGGCACCGGGTGCCAGTCACGCCTCCCCAGGTTTGGGGTGTGACACAAATGAACTGTGTTTTCGCAATTTGCATAAAAGGTTCGCAATTGCGAATGAACAGTGTCGCACCAGGAAATAGCAAAACCCAAACTTCTCCAAAATGATCTGAAACTACCTTGAAACTCATCCAGAACCTCCCAGACACAAACCATATATGAATTTCAATCATAATACACGCTACGGACCTGCTCGCGCACTCAAATTACAGAAAAGATGTCGTCTTAATCCGATATTGACAATGGTCAAACTCCCAAATTTCTTAACTTTACTAGTCTCTCAACCAAAGATCCAAAAATACACCCAAGCCCCGCGGGACTCCAAACCAAAAGTGCACACCGGTCTAAAAACATCATATGAACTTTCTCGCGCTATCAAATCGCCAAAATAACACCTAAAACTATGAATTGAACACCAAATCAAATAATATTTTCAAAAAATCTTTGAAATCTCTATTTTTACCATCGCGCGTCCGAATCACGTTAAACCGACTTCGTTTCCCACTAAAATTTACAGATAAGTCAAAAATATTATATTGGACCTGTACCGGGCTTCGAACCAAAATACAGACCCGATACTAACGAGATCAAACATCAAAAATTTCTTAAAGACAAATAAATTTTTAGATTTTCAACAAAAATTCATAACTCGGGATAGGGATCTCCGAATCCGATTCCGGGCATACGCTCAGGTCTCATATTTCGATACGGACCCACCAGGACTGTTAAAATACGAGTCTAGGTCTGTTAACCAAAATATTGACCGAAGTCAACTCAAATGAGGTTTTTATGCAAAATTCCTTATTTTTATCAACTTTCAACATAATAGCTTTCCGGAAACACGTCTGGGCTGCGCATGTAAATCGAGGAGGGATAAAATAAGGTATTTAAGGCCTCATAACATAGAATTTGTTTTTAATTCATAAGATGAACTATTGGGTCATCACAATTTGAAACCTTATTACCCTCTTTACTCAAGTTTCAATTTAATTACACGGTGATATACAATTTACAAGTATATACAAATAAGTTTTAAATGAGTATTCCTTTATATTAGGAATTGAATAAGGATTATCAATTATTTCCTTATCCCTTTATACTTGCCCACCCTCTCTCTTTGTCTCTCTCTCTCTCTCTCTCTATATCTTTGTCTTCGTCTCTCTACTCTCCTTCTCTGTTTTTTTTCAATGATTCTTCATTTGATGTTCTCTATTTTTTTTTGTGTTTTCTTGTTGTATAGAGTTTTAATGGAATTCATCAATGGATTTCAATCGTTTTAACTTAGCAATTTTCTTTCATTTTGCACAATTGGTATTCAAATTGAAATTGTAAATTTTGAAGGTGTTTAGGGGTGGCAAATGGGCTGGTTGGGCTGAATTTGGGCGGGTCAAGATGGGTTAGGTTAATAAATGGGTCATTGTCCAACCCAACCCAAAGTGTACTTGGGCTAAGATGAGCTGAGTCAAGATGGGCTAAACAATGGGTCATAACCCAACCCGCCCAACTTGATCCATGTTTTAGAACTATGTTCATTTTGCATAAAAAAAACCTTTTACCTTTAAATGTGTAAGTTGAAAAAATATTGGGGATGGGGTGGGGCGGGTGAGTGATGCAGAAAAACAAAAGAACATAAAATTGAAAATACAAAAAAAAAAAAAGTAAAATTGGGGCAACTAAATGAATTTCTATATAAGTTGGGTTGAGATAACTCACGAAATTGGCCCATTCGCCAACTTGACGTGAAAAATGCCTTCCTCCATGGTCTTTGACTTTAAGAGGTATACATGCAACAACCTCCTGGATTTGTTGATCCTTCTAAGCCTACTCATCTTTGTCGCTTTCATAAGGCCATTGTTGGTCTTCGTCAAGCACAATTGGCATGCTTACAGCTTTTCTAACGGATTTCCAACTAGAAAATCCAATTCTAAGCTCTGCCTTTAGCTTGACCCCATCTGCTATCAACTATTCACCTATTTTTCAGTATGAATCGAAATCGAGGAGGACGACTAAGAATGTCCATTAAAAGGAGCGATGGGGTTGTTTTTCAAGCACGAATAGAACGATCTAAAGGGGTTGTGCAACCTAGAGAGATGGCCATATCTTTTTGATGAATGTGGTATCGAGGTTCGGTTTATTTGGAAAAGAGGTCAACTTTTGGTTTGGGTAAGTTCCATGGGTTGTATTTGGGCTGCTTAATAGGTCAGAATAGGATATAAAATATAATGGATTAACTTGGGCTCAACCCAAATTGACCCATGAGCTAAAATATTTGTAACCTAACCCATTAATCTCTGGACGGGTTAGATGGATTTGGGCTCAAATTGCCACCCCTAAAGGTGTTTTACTCTCCACCATTAATAGCCATTAAAAAGCTTTGAAACTTTGAAATTGAATTTGGGTTTTCAAAAATCATTATTTGTTTGGATTGGGTGTTGGTGCAAATAATTGGAAATATTATTTGGAGTTTATATCTCAATTTTGAGAGTGTTTTGGTGAAGATTAGACTTGATTTTGGATGAATTTCAGGTTGAAACTCGAAGAAGAAGAAGAAGAAGAAGAACACATGACATACAAAATACTTACAAAATAGTAGTAAAGTTGTATCATAATTGTATGGAAATTGTATTCTGCTGTAGCTATATATATAT